GCGACTGACCCGGTGGAGCAGCGTTTCTTGTCCCGATACATGACGAACGTCATACACGTAATCACAAGAAAGTACAAATAATTAGCAACGATGGCCATTGAAATGACTGCGAACAGAGGATAGATCGGAGTTAGCTTGCGGTCGGTGGATACAAGCAGGATCATGCCTAAACCCATAGAACTCATCATCCCGATCACCTGCAACATTGCCCTGATAAGTCAGTACTCCAATACTGCACTATATCGGCCTAGCTCATTCAGTCAGAAGGAGAACGTTCTTCAGAGTGCATCGTACTTTTTTTCTGAAAAATACAAAATTTTGAGAAACATATGGTTTCATTCGAGCTTCTTCAGTACCGCCATATTTAAAAACAATGACATGCGAATACAGAAGTGATCATTGACATAAGCTCAAAAGCAAGCGCTGGCTGTGACAAAGACCGCAACCATATGATCAGTCAGCCTTAAGTACAGTCAGTGACAAACATGAAGGATATCACTGTGATCACGCGAGAGAGTAAAATCCGACGAACAGGGCATGTTACTCGTCTGAAGGATAACTTGTGAACCTTATGTATTACTGACTGACATAAGTATGTAGCCGAAGGCCGAAGTGCCTGGCATAGTTGCATTCGGCGTATGGGAGCGTCTCAGTATCATCAGTAACAAGGCATACACACAGTGAGAGCCCAGACTCTCTTGATTGATATATTTTTATTAATATCATCATAGTGATGAATCAAAAATGAGATCAATTATGTATCACTGGGCCTGAGAAATTCATTGTAGTCATCCCTTTCTGCTCTTTAAATCTCGGTTTTTCGTCTCTCTAGCTTCCGAAAGGGAACCTATGGCTACGTCATTTATATTAAATATTAACGTTTATTTTCATCACTATGTTACTGATGGACAAAAAATGATATTTTAAAATTCCCAGAAATGAAACGTCTGCTTCAACAAAATTTTCTTCTTTTCTCGCTTTGAATTGACACAGACAACCTAATGTAAAATTATCTGATGCGCGCCACTGCCCTCCCAGCAAATGAACTCAAGCTCTGATAAATTAGAAGATGATTTCGGATAGTCAAAGTTGAGTTTTAGAAATGGATACTAAAGGCTATTCACACAGAATATTGCACAGGAGTAATTTGGTTTCTTGCTCACCCTTACAAATTTGTATATGTGAAGAAACATGCAGCACTGTAAATAGCCTTTATTACCCTATTTTTTTTGTACTTATCTAATTGTCCTATCAATGAAGTTCCTCAACGTGGTCTAGACGTGAAAGGGCCTGAGACGAAATGATGAAGCCCAACATATAGCAGGCTGTTGCTAAGTGCTTCCATCAAAGAACTGTTGAGCTGCGAATCTGTCCAACAAGCAAAATATAAGTCATCCTCGCAAGCACACTGACTATCGCGACATGTAACACTAATCAAACGTAGGCTGGAACGCACCAGGCGAGCCGGAGCGATCATGCGTTTTTGCACAAAACTTGA